TGTATAGCACAATTCAGTACAAAGACAATGCAAAGTGCTTTACATGATTAAAATATAGAAAATTAAAAGAGAATCAAAGCAAGCAGAAAAAATAAATAAATACACAAAAAAATGCAGAGACAAAAAATAACATTAAAAACAGTTGGACTAAAGAAAATAAAAACATTTGAACTTAAGGAAACAAAATGATGCAAAGTCAAAAAATAGTACTTTTTGACAGTACCAGTACTTCTAGATTTATTGCTTTGCTTTGAAAATCAATGGGAAGTCCAAATATGCTTTATTTCCATTATATCCTCTTAAACTTTATGAGTTTTATACTTTCAAAATATGTTAATATTTAGATCATATGTTATAGTTAAACATTAGTAGCTGTTCTTGAACCATTTGTCTTCATGTTGCCCTGCTGTAGTGAACATGTCCAGAATAACCTCTGCAGAAATTTGGCCCACTAACCGTGTTGCGGCCTCAGCAGTGATGTATGCTCACGGGCTCACAGCTGCGAAGCACAGCAGGGACAATGTCGGACCACACAGAGCAAAGCAAACAGGCAGCCTGCATGTGCCTTGGGCGAGCAGAGAGAGGATTGCAGAGGCATTTCTGCCAAGAGGATTATGAGCCAGCTGCTGGGTAGACGTGGATGTGTAGCAACCATTGGCTCCGCACAGCGCTGCAGCCTTAACCCAGTGAAACCTTGTTCTGATGCTCTAATTTTTTCTTGTATTATTCTCCCTTTGTTTGTGCAATTCTTGCATCTTAGCTCCTCTCCTTCTTTGATATTTCCTTAATGCATGTCTCCAACGGACACGGGGATTTGGCTTCGCCTGTCACAACACACTCTGCTTTATTAATCCATTTTAGGTTTTTTTTAGACTTCATTTGTCCCTCTTTCTGTTCGTGGCCTAAAAAATATATCAAACATACTATGAAACGGTGGTGGCCATGTTGGAACGGAACAATTAGAGATGGTGTCTTGCTGTAAACTGGATGAGGGGAAAGAAGATCTTCAAACCAACCCGGAGCAACATGAAAAACTGTCTGTTTCACCATTCGCTACTAATGTAGATCAATAAATCTTTGAATCACTCTTTTTGCAGTTTGCTGTTTTTAACACTGCAAAAAAAGGAAATCTAAATGAGTATTTTTTGCTTAAATTAAGTGCATTTTTTCTTGAATTGAGGAGATAAATGTGATACTTTGCCAATGGAACAAGACAATTTACATTTAAAATAAGAAAAAAAGAATTGCTTTGTCTTATTTCAAGTGCATGTTATCTAATTATCTTGTTTTAGGAGTAAGAATACTCATTCCATTGGCAAATCATCTTATTTATCTGCTAAAATTAAGTGTAAATACACTTAATTTAAGAATTTGTTTACTTAATTCTAGATGGTTTTTGTAGTGAAAGAGCCACATTGGAGGATTTTTGAACATGAACATCTACACTGGAAAAAAATTGATATCTATATAAGTAATTTTTTTTTAAAATACGTGCATTTCTTCTTGAATTGAGGAGGTAAACGGGAAATGTTGCCAATT